GAACTCCGCTTTACTATAAATAAGCTGATGGCTTTTTTTTTTTTAAAGTAATGAGAAGCTGTTTTTTAAAAAATGAGAAAATAATATTGTGTAACCTAATTATAAGCACAACAACTTAAAAGGTGATGACATTATTTTTCACCTCCAAAAAGGAATATAGTTGATTTATTATTATATGTAGTAAGACATTAAATATATTTGGAGCATTAACTTTTTCCTTTCAAGTCAGTGCACATTGGAAGACTAACCCTGAAAGATACTAGAGCTTCTGGGGCTGAATTTAACACTATTTAAAGAAAGAAAACCTTAGCTAGGGGACATAACTGTTAATATGGTGATTTGTAAAACCTTAGATTTCTAATAAGGTCTGACTGTTTCAAGGAAAACATATTTTGTTTCTAGGTAACATTTCAAGTCTGATTATGAGCAAATGCTACAAAATTGATCTGTAATGGGAAATACTGTAATGTCACAAAGCATTATTTAATGCTTAATGTGACTGAAAGCATTAATTGCTGGGAGCCATAGTCTGTCCAAGCAAAACATGAACACACATTTTACACCCCTCATCTCTTACTGTAGGTTTTCGAATGAATTCAAATGTCACAAAAATGTAGTTAGAAAATCTGCAATACCTGAAGGTTTTCTTCACCTGCTTGGAATATGGTAGTTGTTCCCTTGTTAGCAAACACGTGAGTTGTATCTTTTCAGAAGTGCCCAGCAAACAGTTGCTGTGTGGCTGCTTGTTAGCAGCTCAGCTAAAATGTCTCGTGGAATGAGGTAGTGAGTGGCTGACGGGATTTTTTTTTTTCCTTCTAGATTTATTTTGTCGCTTTCGTAATAAAATCTCAGGTTTCTCTAAGAACATGCAATTGAGATTTGACTGTCTCTGAAGTACTGAAATGAGTTTATAGCAATAGAATTCCCACTAAAAACCAATGAGTGCTATAATGTTCACCACTTTGGCTCACACTGAAGTATTAAGTCTGAGCACTGGCTGGAAAGCTTGTGTCATCAGTAAACTCGTGAGATTTACATGAACTTGGGGCTATTTCCAAAGAAGCCATCCCCATCCTCAATTCTGGTCAGTCCCAGGGTCTGCGGCTGGGGACACAAACCCTCGGTGTAATGCGTCCCACCACCCCATGTGCTTTTAGTACCTCTATAATTTTTCTCACGTAAAATAGAAAATAGAGTCTAATTCTCCCACAGAAGTCTGTCAAAGAAAATAGCTGTAAGGACTGGCTCCCTTCTACCTCAAAGGTGTCTGTGCAGTGAGCACTTACACATTTCATTGCTCCTAGGATAAACACTGATAGCTCTGTACCAGGTACTATGCCAAGCACATACATACATTTCTTTCTCATGTAACCCTCATGGCAGCCCTTGAGATTGGTACCTGTAGGAAAGAGGAGAAGCCAGGTTATATTGCAGTAACAGACAACCCTAACATCTCAGTGGTTTAAAGCAACAGAGGTATAGTCTTTGCTTTTGCAAAGCCAGCTGTGGCCTGGCCAGTTGTCTGTGGCGTGGGAGCTCAGCAAGGCATCTCCACAAGCACCCATATCCACTGGAGACCCCACACAGGCAATCCAATGCTGCCACCTAAAAGTGGCCCCTGTCACTCATGCTCACTGACATTGGTCAGTCAAAGCAAGTCATGTGGCCACATCTAACTTCAAGGGAACAGGAGAATGTGATCCTACTGCTGAAAGGACTGGTGAGCAGCATCTGTGGTTACCACAGTGGATTTCCCATCTTACAAATCAGGGAACTAGAAAGGGAAGTAATGCCCAAAGCCACACAACTCACAAATGAGATGACTGTGTAATTGATTGTCCAGACAAGGACACCTTTGCCAATGAAAGGGAGGAGTTTTAATCAATATCTCCCTGAATCCTGGACAACCTGCCCTACCCACTTTGGGACTAGTAAAGACCCATTCCACTCCTCCTCTCGCTATGTTCCTCCCTAAGGGTTGAGAAGTCCATGGGCCAAAGGATTTTGCCCTTTCAGAGCCAGTGCCTCCTGCTTCCAGACCATGCTCCAAGTCTCCATATGACTCCATAACTCTCTGCCCAAATGACCCCAAGTCTCTTCCAAAGCCTGGGTCAGCCTCTTCCCCAGGTATATCTTCCAAAGGGCAAGCAATGTGGCAGGTATACCCACCTCTAGTCCCAAACGATGGCCAATGGGCAAATGTTGGGAGGTGGACTTGATGTAAACCTGCAGGCTGGGGTGTTCACACACACTGCTATGGTTTGAATCTATGAATCACCCCAAAATTCATATGCTGAAACCTAAGACCCAAGACGATGATACTGTAAACAAAAAAGTATGCATCAGATCTCAATCAATTTACAAGTTTATTTTGCCAAGGTTAAGGACGTGCCTGGGAGGAAAAAAGAAAACAAAACACAAAATCACAGAAACAGCTTGTGGTCTGTGCCTTTCTCTAAGGATGATTTCGAGGGCTTCAATATTTAAAGGGAAAAATAGGCTGCAGGGGAAAGAGAGAGAGAGGATATGGAAATCCACAGGTTGCAAGGAAAAAAGAGCAGGTAGGGGAATAGTGAATTATGTCTTCCTCTCCTGCTCAGTAAATCGGTATTTTACATACAGTAAGGGGAATATAGAGTAGCTACCTGTGGAAATATTTAACCTTTATCGGTAGGCATTTGCTCAGGAGCAAAAGGAAAGGCAGCCTCTTGCATGACTCAGCTTTCAGCTTAACTTTTCCTTGTGGCAGAACAAATTGGGATCCCAAGTTTTTATTTTCCTCTCAGTATTAAGAGGTGGGGCTTTTAGGAGGTGATTAGTTCATGAGGGCAGGGCCCTCATAAATAGGATTAGTGCCTCTATAAAAGGGCTCAAGAGAACTAACTAGGCCTCCTTTTTGCCCTTCTGCCATGTGGGGACCCAGCAACAAGGCACCATCTTGGAAACAGACAGCAGCCTTCACCAGATACCAAACCTATCAGGGCTCTGATCTTGGACTTCCTAGCCTACAGAACTGTGAGAAATAAATTTCTATTCTTTATAAATGACCCAGTCTAAGGTATTTTGTTACAGCAACAAAAACAGACTAACACACACACCTACATGGAGCCCATTGGTAGGAAGAACAATAATCGAGTGACCTCCATTTTTTTATTCCCATAATGGGGCCCACAAGTATTAGGGGTGGCCTGCCATGATGCTGGGGCAACTAGGACTGTCTTGGGTAAACAGAGACATGTGGTTCCCCTACTTAGAAATGGCAGATAAGGCTAGGCGCGGTAGCTCAAGCCTGTAATCCCAAAACTTTGGGAGGCTAAGGTGGGCGGATCATGAGGTCAGGAGTTCCAGACCAGCCTGGCCAACATGGTGAAACCCCATCTCTATTAAAGATACAAAAAATTAGCCAGGGGTGATGGCACACATCACCAGCTACTCAGGAGGCTGAGGCAGGAGAATCACTTGAACCCAGGAGGTGGAGGTTGCAGTGAGCCGAGATCACGGCACTGCACTCCAGCCCAAGCGGGCGATAGTGCGAGACTCTGTCTCAAAAATAAAATAAAATAAAATAAAATAAAATAAAATAAATGGCAGATAAAGGATACAACTACAGGTCTCTCTAATATAGACCCTACTCTGTTAATCACTCCACTATACTGCCTCTGATTCAGGAGCCTCTTAGTGGAACCAACAGGGCTATCACCACAATTTTGAAAACTGGTGGGAGAGCATGGTGTCATTTGAAAATTCAGGACTACTGTGATGAGATGTAGAGTTGGTAGCATGGAAAGACAGGTCCAAAGTCCTGGTTGAATTTGAGTTCTAACTCTGCCACTCAGGAGTGCTGTGATCTCGGCAGGTTACCCTCCTCTTCAAGAGCCTATTCGGTTGTACAGTGGGGATCATCATCATAATATCTAGCTTCTAGAGTAGCTGTGCAGATGAGGTGAGATAATGTATGCGCAAGGAGCTTGAGGACTGGGGAGTGACACACACATAAAAGGATTGCTCCCTGTTGACCCTCCTGAGCAGGTCAAGTGCCAGAGTTCAGGTAATCAATGCCTGCAAACACCAGGGTGCTGTTTAATCATCTTTTCATGCTTTAGAATTACTCATGTGAAGCATTTTTAAAACCTCAAAATCCATCTATCACTAGGTTGAACTGAATGGCCTCAATGACAAAGGAATAGCACTTGGCAATTGTTTTTATCATGGTGAGGGTATTCCAAAGATACTTATACGTGGCAGGGATTTGGAACTCAATTCCACAGCAGATGGAGAGTCTCCATACATGCAAAAAGCATTCAAGAATCCAGATGGAAAAGGTCACTGGAGATTACGTTTTCCAAATCAGGAAACTGAGGCCCAGAGAGATTAAACCCGTGGTTTTCCCTGTGGCACTGAGGTGGAGACAGACCTTGGACTGGAACCAGACTCAGTTGTCTTCTTTAAAATCTCAACTTTCTCATCTGGAAAATGGTGATAACAACACCTGCTGTATAGAACAGTCATGATGATCGATAGAAGCAATGACTGTAAAGCATTTTGTGTCTTTGGCATTGAGAAAATGGCAGCCATTTTTATGGTGATATTTTTATTATGATAAATACATAAGGACCATATTTTAGTAGGGTCCTTATGTATTTCAGCATCAAAGATTTATTTTATTCATAGGTTCTTCTAGACTGCAATCTATGGCATGAGTGACCAACTGAGGTCACGGATTTAACAGAAAAGTGTCAAAGGTTTATTGGTTTGTTGTTTTAAACATATAAAGAAAGCTGGCTTTACTGCACCAAAGTTTACATCTTCTGTAAAAGGGAGGTCTGAAGAGTACCTACCTCATAAGGTGGCTGCAAGGGCTCAGAGAAGAAAGCCCTTAGCCCCGAGCCCTGATGCAAGAAGGCACTTGATCAGTGGAGCTAGATGACTCTGTTATAAAAAGTATTAATGAATTGACATTTTAAGGGCAAAATTATATGCAAAAAAAGCAAAAGAAATTGTCTAGAGAATAATCTGAAGTTTATTTTACGACACGCACAATTCCATGTACAGTATGTATGATTCACACGGACGCGGGCCTCATCAGCTGCAGGAGACCCCTCCGGAAGTCTTCAGAAGGCTTATTGGCTTGCCGGTGGCTGGATTCACAAAGACTTGAACCAGGCCAGAGCATCAAACTGTGCCAACATAGGGTGGCCAAAGAAAAAGCCATCACCAAGGTCATGGTGATTTACAGAGGGCAGTTCCTCAGTGGGCTTAGGTGGAAATAGAGCAAGGAGGTAGTGCACACTGGAGTGACTCACTTTCTCCACAGTCAAGGTAGCCACTGGAATCTGAGGAAACCCGATAGGTGTGTGGTAGGTACACCGATTGGCCACCATGAACCCCAGCGTGGAGGATGACTGCAAGCTGGTTTTCAGGCCACAGTACCTAGAAGATGAAATCACAATGCTTATTCTGGGTCACCATGATGCTGTCTCCCAACCCAAAGGCAGCCTGTTTCAGTGGCAAAGGGCTCTGCCTCACAGGGCCTTGGTTCAAATCCCAGCTCCGCCACTTAAGCAAATTACCTTTGGCAAATTACTTAACTTCCCTGTACCTCTGTTTCTTTTTATTTTACTTTTTTATTATACAGTGCTTTTCATGTTCAGAGAAATCTCTAGTAATGAACTATAGAATGATCCCTTAAAATAGACTCTATCTCAGTCTCTACAACAATCTAACATCATAACCTACCTCATAGGCTGACTGTGAGAATTAAACGATGAACGTACACCATTTAATATATTAACTGTTCCTAGACAGGGTAAGTTCTTCTTAAACATTGGCTATTATTAATTTATGCCATTCCTTTTAATAGCAAAAACCATAATGACTTTTGCACCAACCTAATACTTATGTCCATCTTTGTTCTCTTGCTTCTCATGATGAAAAGTCAGGTGCTTTTATGCTAAATGAGAAGGAAAACTCATTTATTAGCAATAATAAGTTATTGTGTCTCTTATTTCTGCTGCTAGATATTAATCTCAAAGAACAGGGGCTGTGTCTTGTTCACTTTTTAAGTTTGTCTAATAGGAACAAGGTGACACTTGAGATAAAATTTGGAGGCTGAACAGAATCGGAAATAAAAAGCATCAAGCTGGGTTACAGCCCCCTCTCCTCTGTACCAAAGAGGCCCACAGATGATTTAAACATTTTAAACACAGTCTTATTGTCTTCTTCTCTTGACAAAAATTAACATTGACTCTGAGAGTTCATTGTGAAGGAAGAATTACGGGTTGTATAAAATTTGACTACAAAGTTATTCATTGATGCATTGTTTGTGGAAGGGAGAGAGAAACAAGCTACAGGTCTCCGCTCAGGGAGGGCACCCACCAAGAGTGTCACATAGCCAGCCCCCGTCAGGGTACACCACGGTCATCCACAGTGCCGTGAGATACGTCCACTGACTAACAGGGAAAGATGTTCAATGGAAAAGATCAGGTTACAGAACAGCATGTACTACCCCACGTGATCTCACTCATTATACAAGAACGTGTTAGTTTATGTACATATTGCCTAGAAAAAACGTTGAAAAGCTAGACGGCAAAATGTTTTCAGTAGTTATCTAGCAGTGGAATTGTGGATAATTTTTTTCTCCTTTTCGCTTACTTGAATCTTCCCAAATGAACATAATGTGCCTTTGAAATAAGAGAACATGATATTTTTTCAATGGCTGAGTGTAAATTTATTTATCATTTCTTTTTAAAGAAGCACTAGAGGGATGAGCAGTGTTGGATAAATGAGGCTCCTTCTTCCTTCTGCCAAGGTCCTGCCCCCATTTCCCTGCCTTCCTCATGAGCACTGCGAGAGTGCTGCTATAACAAAATACCATAGCCCGGGGGATGCTTATCAACAACAGAAGTTTATTTCCTGCAGTTCTGGAGACCGGGAAGTCCAAGATCAAGGCGCCAGCAGGTGGGTGTCTGGGGTGTGCCTGCCTCCTGGTTCATAGATGGCTGTCTTTTCACTGAATGCTCACATGGCAGAAGAAGGTGAGAGAGCTTTCTGGGGTCTCTTATAAAGGTGCTATTAGGTTGGTGCAAAAGTAATTGTGGTTTTTGCCATTACTTTTAATTCACACGGAAGCTGGGCTCATCAGCTCATCACACATTACTTTTAATGGCAAAGACTGCAATTACTTTTGCACCAACGTAATAATTCTACTCATAAAAGCTCTGTCCTCAGAACCTAATCACCTCCCAAAGGACTCACCTTTGAAGATGAGGTTTCAACTACGAATGGGGAGTGTGGACAAACATTTAGTCTATAGCAGAGGGAAAGGAGAAACGTGAAAAGAAAAGCCTTGCTTAATTTTCAGCGTGACTCTAAGATCCAGTGAAAATCAAAATCACTTGCTTTTATTTCCCTTACATTTCTTTTCTATTCTCTGCCACTGTTTTCCTCTTGGACAGTAAAAAAAAAAATCATGCTTCTTCCCACTAGGAGAGCAATATTTCATGAGCACCCTGTTTTCTGTGTGAGCCCAATTATATTTTTAAATAATTGAATTGCATTTAAACAGTGCAGTCTACTAAACACCTGGTATGTGTCAGGGCAGTGCTAGGTGCTTTACATTTTATACTCAGTTTTCAAAACAACCCTGCAAAGCAGGTCTCAGTTTCCCCATTCTACAGGGAAGAAAATAAAGCAAAGAGGTGGAATAAGTTTCCCAAAGGCATGCATGCAGTAAGTGGTGGACTTGGACCCAAATTTGGGCTCTCTTGATGCAAAGTTCTCATTTTCTCCCCCATTCTGGATCTCTAGATGGTGAAAACAAAATCTACATTTCAGTCTAGTTGGATGAACTGCATTTTCTTTAAGTGGTTCTGGGACTTTGAAGCAGTGTCATCGCATTTAGGCAACATGCCCCATGTTTGCAAGTTCATGCCCTGATTTGGTTGGCAGTAACAATAGGCTCCTGAGTGAGAATGTTCCCCCCTGATTCTTTTCTTTTAGGTTTCAATTTTTATTAAAGTTTATGTATATGTGCCTGCTTTTAAAAAGTCAAATAGTTGTTCAAGTCTTCTTACAAAAAAAAAAAAAAAAAAAAAACCACTTTTCTGGCTAGTTGTACATTTGGTTATAGTCTAGGTCAGTAAGTTCTTAGAAGGAGTGAATTCATTCAAAAATCTCTATTGCACACCTGCCCTTAGTTAAACGCTGAGGATACATCTTTGGGCAAGGGAAAATGCCTTTCCTCGGGAGTTCTCAATAAAGGGTGTGGGTAGCATCAGCTCCCATTTTCTCCTCTGGCAAGAAGTAGATGCTAGCTGTGTTACTTTCTGCTTGCAGAGGAAAGAAAAGTTGGGCTGCCCCCTTCCACTCTTTCCTTCTTCTTTTTCTCCTCTCCTTTTCTTCCTTTTCTCCACAAACATTTATTGTGCACCTACTACATTCCAAGCTTGTGGTGGGCATGGAAGAGACAGCAGTGAACAAGCTAGGTGGTAAAGGTCTCTGCCCACGTGTAGCCTTCGTCTAGAGAGGAAGCATTATGCGATTATGGATGGATGTGATTATGATGCATTGTGATGAATGCAATGCTGGGTAAAGCAAAGGGATTCTGCAGGATCTAGCAGGGGCCTGACTTGGCGTAGGAAGTCCAGGCAGACCTTCTGAGAAGGGACAGCTAAGCTGAGACAGGACGAGCATGTAGGAGCTGTCCCAGTGAATAGTAGGGGGAACAGTCTTCCTGGAAGAGAAATGCATGCAATGGCTTGGAGGCCAGAAAGAGTATGGCACATCCCAGAGATAACAGAAGTCCCAGATGGCTGGAACACACACTGCCAGGGGAGGCTGGGGAGGAGGCGGGAGCCAGGCTGGGAAGGATCTGTTAAAGAATTTGGATTTTTATCCTGGGGCAATGGGAAGTCAATAAATGGGTCGTATGCGTGGGAGAGCAAGATCCAGTTTAGTAAAATGGTCTGTTTAGTAAACTAAATGATTAATTTTAGTAAAAAGATCTGTGGTTTCAAATTGAAGAGTGGGTTACAATAGAAACAGCAATATCTGCAGGGACAGCAGTTAGGCCTCTACCACAGTCCTGCCAAAGACAATGGTGGCTTGGACTAGGTGTTGACAGAGGAGATGGAAAAAACTGGATGGATTCAGGAGAGATTTTACAGAAGGTCTGGGGATACACTGGAATGAAGGAGAGGAAGGAGCCCAGGATGACTTCCGGTCTCAGGCATCTTGCTGATGATTTCATTGGCGGAAGGGAGGCTTGGGGTGAAGATGAGGGGGGAAAGTGACAGGTTGAAGTGAACTTTTGGCTTTGCACAGTGGCTTGCACCTATAACTCTAGCACTTTGGGCAGATGGCTTGAGCCCAGGAGTTCGAGACCAGCCTGGACAACATGACAAGATCTGTCTCTACAAAAAACAACAACAACAACAACAAAAAGAAACAGAAATTAGCCGGGTAGTCCCAGTTACTTGGGAGGCTGAGGTAGGAGAATCAATTGAGCCTGGGAGGTCAAGGAGGCAGTGAGCTGTGATTGTGCCACTGTACTCCAGCCTAGGTGAGACAGAGAGACCCTGTCTCAAAAAAAAAAAAATGAAGTGACATTTTGAAGAGGTTGAGCTGGGTGCCTGTGAGATTCTAAGAAGAGGTGAGCATCGGGAATAATAATGTCACTAACTCACATTTATTTAGCCCTGTACTACATGTACTACAGGCCAGGCCTTCCTTTAAGCACACAAACTGGATGATCTCACCAGGAGGTAACTGAATAGATGGGCCTGAAGCTCAGAAGAGAGTTTTGGGCTGGAGACAGGAGTTGAGAGACTAAATTAGGTCTAAACTCAGGGTCCGGACAGGCAATGTAAAGAGTTGAAGCTGGCTGGGTGTGACCCAGTTGTGGTGGGCCTGTGGTGCGCTGGCCAGCAAATACCAGTCTGACACCAGACAAATTCAGACTTAAAAAAAATACTGGGCAGAGTGAATAAAACTCAGCATGGCCTGCCTCGGTTTGCCTTGTGGGCCTCCAGTTCGTGACATCTGGGACAGACGGCCATGAGGGAGAGAGACACTGCCCAGGAGAGAAGATAGGAGGGGATGATGAACTTGAGCCCAGAGTTTCAACCTTCCACACAGAAAATTGGCTCTGAATATAAGTTCCCAATGGGTTTCCTGGGATGTAACAAGTGACTGATAAAGTGTCTGATTCTGATGCTGCCTAATTGTCATAGGAGGTGAATTCCTATCTTCATGCTTTCTTATCCCTGATTTAGTATATGCTAGAATAAGGGAATGTTAGATGTGAAAGACAGATGCCTTGGGGATCATCTGGGACAGGGGCTTTCTACACTGATGTGGGTCAGAATCTCCTAGGGAAACAAACCTACAGATCCCAGCATCATCCTGCCAGGCCTTCCGAATCAACCTACACAGAAGGGTCCAGACATCTTTATTTTTACCAGCTCCCCAGGTGATTCTGATGTACACACCTGAGCATAAGACATTCTTGTCTAGCGCTACCCCTCAGATAGGGAAACAGCTTAGAGAGATGAAATCAGTTGCTCACAGTCACGCTGCCAGAAAGGGGCAAGATTGGGGCCCACCACAGTGATTCACATCTATAATCCCAGCACTTTGGTAGGCCATGGTGGGAGAATAGCTTGAGCCCAGGAGTCCGAGACCAGCCTGGGCAACAGGGCGAGACCCCATCTCCACAAAAAAATTTAAAAATTAGCCTAGCATGTGCCTGTAGTCCCAACTACTCAGGAGGCCAAGGCAGGAGGATCACTTGAGCCCAGGAGTTGAAGGTTGCTGTAAGCTATGATCACCCCACTGTGCTCTAGCCAGGGTGACTAAGCAAGACTCTGTTGAGGGAAGGAGGGAAGGAGGGAAGGAGGGAAAGAAGGAAGGAAGGGAGGGAGGGAGGGAGGGAAGGAGGGAGGGAGGGAGGGAGGAAGGGAGGGAGGGAAGGAAGGAGAAAAAACCAAAAAAGAAAGAGAAAGAGAGAAAGACAAGTGAAGTCTATGCTCTGGACTTCCCTCCAGCCCCTTCAGCTGGGTTCATTAACCTCCCCACCCCCAGAATCAGCCCCAGCCCAAACTTGAGGAACAATGAATCTCCGAGGCAACGATGGCTCAGAATCAGACCAGCAGTGCCCATGATCCCAGCCTGACTTTGTATCTAGCTCCAACAATGGGGCTTGGTCTTATCTTCTCCCCTTTCCCCAAGTTCCTGCCTCTTTCCTTGCATCCATAACTAGGTTCTGCCTGGACCCCTGTGCTGAAGCCCTGCTTTGGTGTCTTCTGAAGCCCTGGGTCCTTCTGGAGCAGAAGGCATGCACCTGAGGGACCCAGTGCTCCTGGGTCTGTGTGAGGACACAGTCTTGCCTCCTCCTGAGGTCGGGAGAGAAAGCGCCTGTCAGGTTGTAGGAGGCCAGTGGGCAGATGGCACAGGTATGCCTTTCAGAGGGGTGAGCCTATTTTTGTCACTCACTGTAAATAGCATAGAATGGGCCGCGGCTTGTTGTCAGTTACCTGGAATATCAGGGCAGGATTCTGGCAGGAAGTCCACTCCCACACTTCCCTCACATCAGAATAAACACAGGCTTAGCAGCATGAACCTGAGACTCTGCTGAGTCCTCAAGAAGCATCGCATGGGCAGCTGAAGGGCAATTCAGGCCTTGGGACCCCACACAAAGAAGCCTCTGACTGTGTGGTGGTAGAAGATTATGTGGTTACAAGGAGAAATACCCACATTAAGGAATAGAGGCTGGGTGTGGTGGCTCATGCCTGTAATCCCAGCGCTTTGAGAGGCTGAGGTGGGAGGCTCACTTGAGCCCAGGAGTTCAAGGCTGCAGTGAGTCGTGACTGTGTCACTGCACTCAAGCCTGGATGACACAGTGAGACACTGTCTCTAAAAAAAGTTCTTTAAAGACAAAAAATTAAAAGAAATAGAATATACCTTAAATGGAAACATGTATAATGTTAAAAGATTAAGATGAAACTAGCACTTAAGAATGTACTCTGTGTGTCTTTATGAAAATAGTTTATCTTCAATCAAGCTTATTTTAATATTGTCATTACAGAATTATTCAGGTATATAGGGCCCAGGAAGACTAATAGAAATAAATGACATATCAGCCATTTATATTACTGTTATCATGCAGTACAGAATACTGGCTAAAAGCTTAAGGTCATTAGATCTGAATTTGATTCATGGCCCTGCTGCTGTGTGATCTCAACAAGTCACTCAATGTCCCAGAGCCTCAGTTTTTCTTTCTTTCTTTCTTTTTTTTTTTTTTTTTGAGATGGAGTTTTGCTCTTTTGCCCAGGCTGGAGTAGAGTGGCATGATCTCGGCTCACTCTAACCTCCACCCCTTGGGTTCAAGTGATTCTTCTGCCTGAGCCTCCCAAGTAGCTGGGATTACAGACACCCACCACCATGCCTGGCTAATCTTTTATTTTTAGTAGAGACAAGGTTTCACTACATTGGCCTGGCTGGTCTCGAACTCCTGACCTCAGGTGATCCACCTGCCTCAGCCTCCCAAAGTGCTAGGATTACAGGCTTGAGCCACCGTGCTCAGCCAGTTTTTCTCATCTTTAAAAATGGAAATAATAACACAGTCTTGATCAGATTTTGTGGCAATTAAATAAGACAATGCATATTTTTTATGTCCTGGCTAATTTCTGGACCCTAAAGATTTTTGTGGTAGTTGTTGTTTGCTTTTTTTTCAAAATTTGCGAATGATTTTGGTCTCTATGGGTGGAGACTTACATTTACCTTTGGGCCAGACTTTTCCCTTATTTAAGAAGACTGCTTGCCTCAGGACCCTGGTAACCAGCTAGGGTGTAGATAGTGGTGATTGTCAATGAAGGCCACTGTGTTGTTCCTTCAGGTGGTGTCTAGTGTCACGGACATCAAAACCAGGGAGCGGGCAAGAGGGAAAGAGCCAGAGAGATGGGGGTGGCAACTGTTACACTTTAGAAACCTCCAGGAAAAGCTGAGGGATGCTTCAAAGGGGAGAGGGGACCCGTTCAGCCATTGAGCCAGAGGAATATTAAGACAATGAAATTTGCATAGTAAACATTATAGAACGTAACTAATTTTTACTGCATTGTCATAGCAGGAATTTGCTCAAGAGGTACAACAGAAGACTTGCTTGGTCTCTTGGTGGCAATGATTCAAGCATAATCAATTTGTGGAGCTAAGATCTCCTCAACTCCTCAACAGAAACTGGTAAATCAATCTAGACTTCGGCTTAAGTTTTACCAATTTAACTGATGTAGTTTGGACGTTTGTCCCCTCCAAATACCATGCTGAAATGGAACCCTGACAGTTGGAGATTGGGCTTAGTGGGAAGTGTCTGGGTCATGAGGCAGATCCCTCATGAATTTCCCACAGTAATGAATGAGTTCTCAGTCTATTAGTTCACACGAAAGCTGGTTGTTTAAGGAGCCTGGCACCTCTTGCTCTCTCTTCTTGCTTCCTCTCTTGCCATGTGATGCCTGCTTCCTCTTCACCTTCCACCATGAATGAAAGTTTCCTGAGATCCTCACCAGAAGGAGATGCTGGCACCATGCTTCTTGTACAGCCTGCAAAACCATGAGCCAAATAAACCTCTTTTATTTAAAAAATTACCCAGTCTCAGGTATTACTTTAGAGCAATGCAAAATGGACTAATACATTAACATTATCCTTGGGTTTGGTGCTGGTGATACCAACATGATAAAAGGTTCTCTTCTCTTGATCCTACACTAATCAAAGAAAGACGATATTGAATACTTCATCACAAATTAAATGTGAGTGTTCTGCAGGAAGTTTATATACATTTGGCTCTCCGTATCTGCCAGTTCTGCTTCTTCAGATTCAACCCACTTCAAATAGAAAATATCCAGGAAAAAAAATAGAAGAAAAAAAATTAAAATAATACAAATTTTAAAAAACAGTATAATTATTTACACAGCATTTACATTATATTAGGTACGATAAGTAACCTAGGGATGATTTAAAATATACACGAGGATCTGCATAGGTTATATGCAAATACTATGGCATTTTATATCCGGCACTTGAGCGTCCTTGGATTTTGGTATCTGCAGGGCATCCTGGAAACAACCCCCTGCTGAAAGTAAGGGACAACTGTATATGGTTGTATGAAATTCAATAACAAAAGAGCCTAAGCTAGACAGAGGCAGGTGGGAGCAAAGAGCTTCTGAGAAACCAAAACCAGTGAGGCCCTGTGGCTGGACCACAGGACTGGAAGGGAGCAAGGTAGCAGATGAGGCAGGAGTGGGTGGCTGGGCCACATCACATAGGAACTGGATTTTATCCCAAGAGAATGGGAAGCTATTCTGTTGTGGGGAGGGAGTGGCATGACCATC